ATTCAGGGAGAATCTGTATTCTTATAACTCCATATGATTTTACATTAAGAAGTTAAGACAATCAGGAAGGCATCATTCGAATTCTTCTTTTACCATTTGTTAATTCTTGAATTTCGCCTATTACCCTTAACTGCTACCTATTAGTAGTTTCTGATCTACTTAAAAAGGACTCCTTCATACTAAAGAGAAGACTGTTAAGGGCTGCCAGTAGGACTAGTGGTCTACTATTAAGTCAGCTCGTCATTATTGTAGTCGATAGACATATAAACTCATGCTAGAAATAGTCTAAATCCATACTGTTTTACTCTCAACACCCACTCTCTATGCACACCTCTCCCCGCTTTGCATCACATCGGATAAGAATATAAGTCATTATAAAACATTATATGCTCACTAGCACAACCAAGTACAGAAAGTCAACTATACCCTATTTGTCCCACCGGCATTCTGTGTGATATAGATAATGCTAAGCTGGAAACCTCTGACTTACTATGTTATGAGCAAAATTAATCGACTCTTTTATTCTGTCCTATTTGTAATCTATGGTAACCTAGCTATTATTGACTTTATGATTTGCACACTTTTGTACATTTTTGACTTTATTATTATTATTATTATTATTGTATCCTTTAGTTCCTAGAGGAACATAGGGCTTCAGCTGCGCACCTCCATTGACTTCGGTTTTCTGACAACTTTTTCACCCTGCTCCAGGTCTGTTCTTGCTTTTTCATCTCCTCCTCGCATGACCTCCTCCAAGTCACCCTTGGACGACCAACTCGCCGCCTCCCTTTCGGGTTCCACTCGAGGGCTTGTCTAGTGATGTCACTTGATGGTTTCCTCAGCGTATGGCCAATCCATCTCCATTTCTTTCTGCCTATTTGTTTCACAATCGGTTCCTGATTGGTTCGCTCCCAGAGATCCCTGTTGCTGATCTTTTCTGGCCATCTGATCTTGAGTATTGAGCGGAGACAGTTGTTAATGAAGGTTTGAAGTTTGTTTGAGATGCTCTTTATGACTCGCCAAGTCTCTGATCCGTATAGTAGCACTGACTTCACATTGGAGTTGAAAATCCGGATCTTATTTTTGATGCTGAGTGCTGTTGACCTCCACACAGATTTGAGAGTAATGAAAGCTTGTCTTGCTTTTCCGATTCTGGCTTTGATGTCCTCGTCAGTTCCGCCTGTAGTTGAGACGATGCTTCCCAGGTAGGTGAAGGAGGTTGTTTCTTTCAGGTTCTTCCCATTTATGCTTATTGTGGTCTGTTGTTGTTGTTGATGTTGGCTAGGAATCTTCATCATCTCTGTTTTATCTATGTTCACGTGAAGTCCTATCTTTGATGCTTCTTCTGCCAACTTGTTACTTTTCACTTGCATATCTTCCAGTTTATGGGAAATCAGACATATATCATCGGCGAAATCCAGATCCTCCAAGTCTTTTGTGTCAGTCCATTTTATGCCTGTTCCCTCGTTGGTTGCCGTTGTCTGTCGCATTATCCAATCAATTGCAATCAGGAAGATCATTGGTGATAGTAGACAGCCTTGCCTCACTCCCGTCCTCACTTCGAAGGCTTCCGTAAGTTTCCCGTTGTGGATTACTTGGCATGCAGCATTGTCGTATAACTGTTGGATGAGGTGTATAATTGTCGATGGGACCCCGTAGTAGCGAAGTAGTTTCCAAATGACCTCTCGATCGACGCTGTCGAAGGCCTTTTCAAAGTCGATGAAGTTGATATAGAGAGGTGACTGCCATTCCAAGCTTTGTTCAATGATGATCCGTAGAGTGGCGATTTGATCAATACATGATTTGTTTCTCCTGAATCCAGCCTGTTCCGGACGAAGTTTTTCATCTAGGGCTTGTTTGATTCTCTCCAGGATGATGCGACTTAGTATCTTGCTTGGAATGGACAGAAGCATAATTCCACGCCAGTTTTTACATTGACTTAAGTCTCCTTTCTTTGGAAGTTTGAATAAGTAACTGTTCTTCCAATCCTCGGGTACTTTGCCCTCTTTCCACACCTTCTCCAGTAGTGGTGTCATCAAGTCCGCTGTTGTCTCTGGGTCTATTTTCAAAGCCTCTGCTGGGATTCCATCTGGTCCCGGTGTTTTCCCAGTTTTAAGCATCTTGATTGCATTCAGGACTTCTGATTTCGTCGGGGGGTCAGTGTTCACTGGTAGTTCTGCTTCCGTTGTTGGTATTGCTGGACGTGTTGTAGGTGGCGGACGATTTAGAAGTCTTTTGAAGTGTTCAACCCAGTGCTTTCTCTGTTCCACCTCTTTGGTGATTGACTTTCCATTGTCGTCCTTTATTGGCTTAATCTGTGTCGAACGTTTGCCCGAAAGGTTCCTAGTTGTTTGGTAGAGTGTGGCGAGGTCTCCTTTGCCTGCAGCTTGTTCTGCTTCGTTTGCCATGGTTTCATAATATTTTCTTTTGTCTTCCCTGGCACTTTTCTTCACTCTTTTGTTCAGTGTATTGTAGCTTGCATTCAGCTCCTGTTTTTGTTGCTCGTCAGTGCACTGGATAATCTTTTGCTTCACTGTCCTTCTCTCTTCTATTAGTTTCCAAGTGTCCGTAGTGAGCCACTGTTTGTCCTGTCTCTTTTTTCTGCCTAGAATTTCTATGCAGGTTTGGCTCCACACCGTTTTCAAGTTGTTCCAGTGCTTTTCAACGCCGACCTCTTCGCTAGTGTTGATTTGTGTCTCGGCTTTGTCCTTTATGCTTGCAATGAAGATGTCCTTTGTAGCCTGGTCCTTCAGCTTTTGAGTGTTGAACTTGGCTTGTGGTCTATCTGCAGCTCCTGATTCCCTGAAAGCTTTTAATTTGATTTGGATTGTCCCTTGTACGAGATAGTGGTCTGAGCCAACGTCTGCTCCTCTTCTTGCTTTTGTGTCCAGTAGGCTGCGCCTCCACTTCCTTGAGATTGAGATGAAGTCGATTTGGTTTTTGGTTTGCCCGTCTGGTGACACCCATGTAGCCTTGTGGATATCTTTGTGCTTGTATACACTGCCACCAATCACCAGTTCGTTGAAGGCGCAGAAGTCGGCGAAGAGTTCTCCGTTTTCATTCATTTCTCCTAGAGCTTCTCTACCCATGATGAGTTCCCTTCCCGTATTGTCTGGTCCCAGTTTGGCGTTCATGTCTCCCATTAGTATTTTCATGTCGCCAGCTGGAGTATTGTCCATTGTTGCCTGTAGTTGCCTGTAGAATTCTTCTTTCTTCTCGAGGTCTGCGTTGTTTGTGGGTGCATAACATTGTATGATTGACACTTTCCTTCCTTTGGAGTTGAACCTGGCGGTCATTATCCTGGACGAAATCGCCTCCCATTGTATCAGGGCTTTCGTTGCCGTTGGTGACATCATGATAGCCACGCCCTCGGTGTGCGTGTGGTTATCTTCTGGGTGACCGGAGTAGATCACTGACTCACCTGTTGACAATTTGGTGAGTCCACTCCCATTCCATCTGCTCTCACATATTCCCAGCACTTGTATTCCGTATCTTTTCATCTCGTTGGCGATCTGGGCAGCTTTCCCAGTCTCGTACATAGTTCGGACGTTCCATGTTCCTACACAGACTTTTTCTTTTGGTGCAAGGAGGTTCATCATACTGAAGTTTCTTTAGCAATTTTTGTTTACAGGGTGGGGTTGCTAGCCTCACGCCTGAGAAAAGAATGATTACATTAAGTAAAAGTTTAGAGAGAAGCAACTTTTTGGGTTGCTCCCCTCAAAATCAGAAAATAACGGACAAACAATGAGAACAACATCAACAAAGGAAACAGTTCACAGAAAAAAGGGCAAAAAGCGACGACAACTATACAATAAGACAACATGCAATATAGTTCAGTACAGTTAACTAAAATGATATCTTAACCATAAACTCACTGACTTGGAGCAACTTGAACATATAAATCCAACAATATATACAATTATAGATGTGTTTATGTTTAAAAATTCCACAAATCCAAACAGTGGGTTATGTGTATTATATGTCAATAAGATTGTCTTTTTGACTTTATTGTCATCGCGAATACCAAAAACAAACCGTCAATATCAATCCTGTAATATTATTTTCTTTATTTTTGGTTTCACTGCTGTTGAGTAAATTAGATGCAGTAATATGGTACCAAATGTTAAGAATTCCACATTGTATCATAAGTACTGTTAGCGAATAAAGCAAATTATTTTTTTCCTTTACGTCACACAGTGGAACTTAGGGCTCCAAGCTATAGAGGCTTGAAGTTTCTGTAGCAGTGGTAATTTTTTACAGGATGGGGTTGCTAGCCTCATGACCAACCTTTCCTCTTAACCAGTATTATTTCTGATTTAGAGAGATAAAGGAGTTCGTTGGCCGGGGATCGAACCCCTGAACATGTGCACGGACGGCGAGCATCCTAACCGCTGTGCCACCGATGCACAATTAGCAGGTCACAATGAAACGAAAGCCTAGACTCATAATGTTCCAATGGGATAATTGAATTCATAGCTTACCTTCATCTGAACTGTAGTAGTAGCAAATTATTACTATACTTCAAGTGCTGGTTTGTAGAGATTTGATTAGTTACAGGATTTCATCATGAGCTGACATTAGTTAGAGAACCATTGGAAAACCTGGGAGTACTGGACAGCTGTTTCGTCAACCTAGTTTGAGACTCTTCATCAGTAAGCAACTACCGGGATTCGAACCCAGGACCTTCTGATTACAAGGCGAGCTCGTATACCATCAAGCCACTGGGATCTGATCCAATGACCCATGGATTCTTACTTCTCTAACTAATGTCAGCTCATGATGAAATCCTATTACTATACTTATTATTGATGAAAGTAGCATGATATAAGTATTATTATTAATACATCACTCAGTTAGTGAAATTGTATTTCATAAACATTGTGTTGCCATTGTTTGCCTTGTGATCAGCCAGATTTGTTTACCTTTGGAATTTTATGCATTCTCAATAGCTTCGTTGTTCTCTTTTTTCATCTATTAAACTTATCCTTTATTTTTGGCAGTCAAATCGAAATGGAGAAATCATCGTTAACTGTTCGAAATAAGAAGTCGACAATTTCATGTCTAAAAGAATGGTTACATTCTGTAGAAGAACAGCTTGGTATTGAGAATATTCACAGTGGACTAAAATCTACCAAAACTTCATCGGAAATGCTGATACAAGTATAACAGATGACAATGCTAATAGTAATATTGAACAGCCATTTTCCAATAGCACTGAGTCATCGAATGAGGAATGTAACAAACAATCGTTGAAATCGTTATATTCAAGTTTCAGTCATCAACAGTATGTGAGCATTGTTTCGGTTGCCGGTGATATAGCTTTCGTTCAATCTGTGGATTCAAGTCATTCGGTGAGTTTTGTGTTTGTCTGGAAATCTAAGTCACTTTCTGATCTCGAGATATCATGTTGTCTGAAGTTAATCCTTGGAAAGTGATATTTCATTTTTATAGATTATGGAGCCAGAAAATTATCGTTTTGCAGAGTGATGATACTACCCAGTTGGCCAGGCTATAATTATTCAGAGGGAGACTCGAAATGGCTGAGTGTCAAGTGCTAACACTAATGAGTCTCATCTCCACAGCAATCAGCATAACTTCACTCAAACCTGATGTTCATTTAGATATTTTTCCTAGTTTGGGACTACTCACCACAGGGTTCCAACCTAGGACCTTCTAGTTACAAGGCGAGCACATAGATCATTCTCAGCAACTAGGATCTGACTCAATAGCCAGCCCGTGTACTCCAACTTCTGAAAATTCGCGATATATATATATATATCGCGCATCCACCTGCCGATTTCACAGACAAGTAACTGTTTACTTGCCTCACGTAGTTTCCCTACTGGTTACAAATTCTCTCTAGAATTCCAGTTAACGTCATGTGTATAACCAGCAGCTAGTGAGCATCACATTAATGGCTGAGCGTTGAATCTGTTTGGTTACAGGTTTGCTCTGCTTTTCCAATTACGATGATGGCGGTTGCGTTGAATAAATAAAGCTGACCACATATCGGACAAATAATTGGTTGATACGTTGTTCACTGATTTAGATGATCAACTTCCAGGTAGTGGCTCCTCCTGTCGAGTCCCTCTCTACCTACCGTATTTTTGAGTCTTCACACAATAGATGTGTGAGTCGCATGCAAACAACTTTCTCTAATGAAGTGAGTTTTACAAAAAGGACAAAATACCACACATCAGTGAAATTTTGTCTCATCTCTGACTATAACTGGTACATACCGTTGCTTTTACTTCAGTATTAGAGAGAAAAGAACAAGATGTTCAGTGAACTGATATCTGCTTTTCCGCAATTCCGTTCTCAAAAGCGCAGCTGTACAATCACATTTATGTGCATAAGTTTACTTAGATGCAATCATTGCCATCTAATTCCACATAATAACAGAGTAAGAGCAGGAGGTTGAATGTGCGATAATAATTGTTAACTTGGTTTGAAAGTTCAAGAATGTGAATGTTGATTACAAGAGGCTTAGAAACCAAATTATACGGGATTAGAAAATGGTTTTTAACGAATATAGGAGTGAATGGGATGAGCATAGGTACAAACTGAAATAGTGGCTTTCTATAAGTGAAAATGGGAAAATAAAACTGAAAACTAAGGAATCAAATTGAACTAGATCCATGGTAAATGTAGAGGTTGGGATAGTTTCCTTCTGAACACGTAGGTTCAGTATTTCGATGGATATGGTGAAGGGCTTCTGTTGTACAAAGAAGACAGAAACACACTTCTTCTGGTAGATTTCCGTTTACTGAATGTAAATGACTGTGAATAATGGATGAATCAGTTGAGATACTAAGATAGATGTTGATGAGGTGTCCAATTATGGCGCTTCTGATTGCATCAGTGCCTCCTCTTTACAGCCATTCTGGCTTGTGTTCTCCAAGATATTTTGACAAGACATGCAGAGAACGACTTCCATACGAGCAGGTGAACTGATATATGCACATTGGGGCAGTGAAATGCGGAGGTTTGTTCTTCACATTGCTTAGAAGCAGTGAGCGACTGAACAATATCACTCTTAGAGTTGCTTCAGGAAAGGTTTTCTTTAGGGAATTACAGATTCTCCTCTTAAACATACCTGCAGCTAGGTTTCCCCTGAATTTCATATTCGAATGTTATGTCCACTTTGGTAGTGATATGCATTCTTCTCATTTTGACTTTGGTTGCATGTTCTATTCCACGAAACTTGCCGGGCATCCACTTTAACTCAGGATACTTTTGAGAAATAAATACTCTTCTTCTAGAAGCAGTCAATACGGCAAGGTTTTCTGATGCTGGGGGTCAGTGAGATGATGAAAGCGCTTTTTTCACTGGCAGGTATCCAACCGTGGAAACTTGTCAGTTGTTTTCTGTGGGTATATGTTTTCAGATTCCCATCATGTCTTCTCGTCAATTTCACGTTCAGAAATGGAATCTTTGATTCATTTTTTAATTTCGATGTTACTTCAGCAGTCAAACAAATGTCAATGCTCTAGTCTACTGTCATTGTCCAAACCCTAATCATATTTCTTCATGATTAGTAGTCATACTTCCTTCTAGGATGATATGGGTAAAAATCAATGACACTAGGCATTTATTAGTCAAAAAGCTTTAAAAGTGAGGCATAGCTTCACTTTCACAATAATATATTCACCCTGAGTTACGTAAGAATTTTCAAGTTTAATAACCTTTGATTTCTGCTGTTGTTATTACAAAATTGTTTATAGATATTGGGTGAACAGTTATGCCAGCATGAAAAGTTATATCAAGAAATGATTTCAAACGATGCCAACACCAGTGAATCAGCTGATCTAATGGATCGTTTAATTCGAATAAGGAAAGCTTACAATTTAAGATGTAGAAGTCTTCAGGTGAGTAAACTGTTGAATGTTATTGCTCCTTTGATGTTTCCGTCGGGATAATTGATTTATCCTCGAAGATCTGCACCTGTTCCACTCATTACCAAACAATGAGAAACTTAGGAATAAGTTATTTAGACATGATTTCTATTTTCAAGTGTTGGTTTGTAGGTATTTCATTGGTTACAGGATTTCATCATGATCTGACATTAGTTAGAAAACCACTGGAAAACCTGGAAGTACTGGACAGCTGTTTAACATGAGCAGCCATACACAGAACTCCCGGTCCCGAAATTCCGTACCCTGGCCTCCAGTAGCTAGATTACAGGCGTACGCCACCACCCCAGCCAAAAAACAACTGTCCAGTACTTCGAGGTTATCCAATGTTTTAATTAATGTCAGCTCATGACGATTTCTATTTCTTGGTTGATTGTTTGGTTATGAAAAATTGGAGGAGATTTTCAGCTTAGGTGGATGATTTTGATTTAGTTGTATTCTCTGAGGATTTGATTGATTTCATTTCAAAGCTTTTGTTGTCTACCTTCTAGACAGCATCTATTCAGTGCAGGTTTTAGTATGTAATGAACATTTTTATTGACTTGGAATTTTAACTTTCTTGTTATGTGACTTATTCAAATCGTTATTCCGTGTCATTGTCAGTAGTGCAGATGCATTCATTCTTTTTGATCAGTATAACCAGAGAGAAAGGAGCAGGAATTATGTAAGGTAAATTTTGCAGGGTGCGTCGTTGGTTCAGCGATAGGGCTCTGACCAACCACGCATGTGGTCCGGGGTTCTAGTCCCGGTCGCCGCACACTTAGCCGGTTGTAATACCGACAAAAAGGGTAGGTTGGGCATGGGGCTAGCAACCCCATCCCTTTAAAAACACCACTGCTACTGAAACTTCAAAGGTAAAGCTTGAAGCCTTATGTTCTACTGGGAACCCAAAGGAATAAAAAGCAAATTTTGTAGCTGTTAATTTTATTACCTAGACAGTTTAATCAGAAATTCATTCGGTTTTTGTGAGCTTCAGAGAAAAAAGAGCCTATGCGTTCAGTTATAACTCAAAACAAAAAGACTGGTCTTTCCGTTCTCCGATGTATTCCTACCTTTACCGATAAAGTACACTGAAGTACATAGTGCGTTATTTAATACTCAACCATTTTAGTAATAGAGATAAAAAGATTTTTGAACTGATTTATTCCAACAGTATAAGTCTATCTATGCCTAACATGTATAGTGCACATGTGAAAAATGATGAAAGCAAAGAAAAGAAATGGACTGTAATGCACTCCCAATGCAGAAATTCCCACATAAAACGTAGAAGAAAAGAAAGAAAGTGAAAGTTAGCTATGATGAACGGAAATGTACAAGATGAAAGGTAACAATATTGAGAATAATAGGAATTCGACAGGTGGGGAGGTCACAAAAAATGAGTGCATTTACACCGACGGGAATGGTTTTGAGACATGACATCAACCGTCTCCAGCTCTCAGTTCTAGGTGACTTAAGGATACCGATCAGTCAGTTTACATTACACTGTATGATTTAAACCAAAAGTCAAAGTCTTCACTGATTGTTGTCAGGTTTGGATTTATATGTCCCTAAATCTTCTTCAACCTGACATGACGTTATACAGAAATAGTCCTCAGAATTTGTAAATTCATGAGACTTCATGTCACTCCAACTTATTCATGTCTTCTTCCTCTCAAAGCAAAGTCTTCCGCGTAATCCACTCCATTAGTGATAGTATTTAGCCATGTCAAAATCCTGAATTCACCTCGAAGACTTCACTGCATTCTCCGTTGTGGATAACTCAATATGTGACATTGTCATTTACTTGTTGAATGAAGTTTTGCAGCACTACATTCTGTAGTGTTGACACAGTTTCCAAATCATTTCTCCGTCAACGCTTTCAAAGGCCTTTCGGAAGTCGATGAAACGTAGGTAAGGATCTGTCCGCCATGCTATGCACTTCTTGCTGACATTGATGTTGATGATACGTAGAGTCACAAGTTCTATCCGCACATGATTTACCTTTTGCGAATCCAGCTTGTTCTCAGGGATTTGGCGGGGAGGGGAGCGTAATTCTGAATCAAGTGAATCTTCTAGTCTCTTACGGATGACATGACTTATTTTTTTCTTTAGCGTGGGACAAGAGCATGATTCCGCGCCAGTTGTTGCAAACGCCAAAGTCGCACTTCTTTGATAGTTTGACAAGGTTATTTTTCTTCCAATCAGTAGGTACTTTTCCTTCCTTCTAAACTTTGCGCGTTTGTGTCGTGAGGCTATCCTCTGCGGTCTGTCGACTCGTTTTCATTCATTCAATTCAACTGACCATGTTACATTTTTCACCAGTGAGTCCGTCAACAGTGCATTATACTTATTTACTTAACTGTTTAGTTACCATTGCGTTACCGCGTATATGTATAAATGCAGTCTGATATTCTATTTATATAATTTTATGTATATTTTGTTTGCATTTTCCTATGTAC